AGTTTTTCCCATGGATATTTTGTGGGTCAGAAGATAAAAAGTTTGGGAACCACTGTTCTGGAAGATTATATTTATTCAAGAAGAAACCTCTAAACTCAAAATTATATAAAACAGCATCCCAATTACTGTTGAGTTTATTGTAATTATAATCACATCTTAAAGTTTAGTGTATGATTTTAACTTCCTGTGCAAACTATTTCATTGTGGCGCTTTTTTTTACGTTTAAGTGGACATTATTTATTAAAATGTGTTAGTGGTGGAAAGTTCCGAGTTGCACCGTGACATCTAGTGGTGAGCATTTGATTTTGATCCGAGCATACAAAAAATCGCTTGCTACAGTTTGGGTAAATGATTGCTTTATTTACTCAAACATGCGTGTGGTTTATGGTTGTTAATAAAAATTGCTTTAAAGGTTTAGTTTCTGTGCGGAATGAGAAACCACCGACGCTGCCTTTGCGTGTGGTCGGAAAATATAAACTTAGGCGTTACAAAAACACATTTTTTATTCGTAAAGGCTTTTTTTCCGGAAGTCCCTGAAGGCAACACAGTGTACGCCCTGAGCATGCGCAGTTGAGCATCATGGGGAAGACCGCTATGGTTCAAAGAATCCTTTTAATTTCACTTTGGAGGCTGTCGTGATAAACACACGGTTTTATTGGTGAGATGCATGTGAAATCTATTTGACTGTGTCCTAATGCTGAGTTTTTATCTAAAATTACATTTACTATATTAGCTTTTCTCTTGTCTTGTAGCTAACCTGTCTAAAACAGCAGTTAGCACCCGGATAATAAGACTGAGCGTTAAGAAATAATGACATGTTATTTTGTTACTTTTCTATGTACGAAATTGTGTGAATGTATTAAAAATGTCACTTCGGTTCTCAGTGTTCTAATATTTGATCGTTGCTTTTGTCTTAAAATGGGACATTGTGTACTCCAGCAGCACTTGATTTACTAATTTTTGTTAATAATAACAGATTGAACTCGTTGTGAATTGGCACTTACTCATAACAAAGTTCATACAGTCAGTGATACAGTGATACTGACCCAGTTCTAACGGTCTGTCTGTGATATATCTGCTGATTTTTCTTCGGGGAAATTTCCAAGTTAATTGCCTTTTTTCTCTGTGACCCAGAAACTAACAAGTTCTGAGCAAGTTCTGAGTCCCAGTTCTGAGCAATGATTCACAGCCGAACTGCCTTCATGTGTTGAAGCTTTGGATCCAACCAGACCAGAGTGTATGAATCGTGAAACTGTGCTTTTCTGTCACCTTCTCCAAAGTCACTGTTATTTATTTTCTGATGTAATCAAAGTGGTTGCTGTGCTCACTGGATACCTGTATCCTCTCTCAGGTGTAACGTCAGATATGGCCCGTGGGCACCAAAAGTTTCAGTCCCAACAGAAGAATGCCAAAAAGCAAGCAGAGATAAAGAAGAGCAAAGGACACGACCAGAAAGCAGCAGCTAAGGCTGCTTTAGTTTACACGTGCGCTGTGTGTCGGGTACGTAAATAAACTGGAAACACACCAGTAGCCGTAAAGTCTGTTCTTGTGAATAACACACGATGGTGGTCTCAGTGATGACACAGGTTGTTACTCTGAGCCTCACTGGGCTGGTGACTGAGGGACCCTCATGTGGCACTAGACTCAAATCTGTCCTAAAACCTTCACTGGAGGAGGGGTCTCAGTTTTCTCACAAGTGTCACAAGCTTGCAGTGTTTTCACTTGAATGTTGAARAAAATGTATGCAGCAAATTGTCCCTAAAGACCACCGCAGCGTTGTTGCTTATACAAGGTTTTAAGCTGTATRTACAATATTAATATCTGGGAAATGTTTATTTCTTATAGAATAAATGAGATCTGTTATGGAAACCTTTTTAACTGTATTTTAACTTGAATGCTTTACATTTGACATCAAATATAAGTGAAACTGATCAGCACTCCCTGTGACACCAGTGTATTCAGATGAAACGTGTTATCAGTGTACACTTTGCATAGAACTAACTTTTCCACATTAGCCTAACGTTTTTAGCACTGGCTCTGAGTGGTGTTCCTGAAAAGAGGTTTATCCATAACTCAGAGTTAACTTACCTGAAGAGGAAAGACTGTTTTTCATCCCTGAAAGGCAGATTACAAAATAAACGTGCATGTGCACAGTTTAACGCTGTCCTCGTTGGGGCTCTGATCTGTTGATTCTCCATGACAACGGCAGGTGAAAACAGAGTTGGGCCGTGTCTGAAAACATGCAACAATCACGGAGCAGCTGGAACAAAGGTGCTCAGCTCAGGTCTTGCTGAAGGCTGGTGTTTCAGCTGTTTATCTTTAAAATCCTGTAAAACAATGAAAGCAAAAACCTTAGAGTGTTAATGTGTCCCAGGGCTTTAATCTGTGTAAATGGTTTGTGTTGAAAACATGTACAATAGGTCYCCTTCAGGCCCAGGCCTCCCTTGAGAAGATTCTCAACAGGACTTACTTGGTTAAACAACTGTAAATAAACAATCATTTTATCTTCTTTTAGCATTTATAAGAAGAGTCAAATAATTTAAGAAGCCTTTAAGTCAAAATGTCAATTAAAAAAAGATGTTAAAAACTTTAAACTTCTTTAAAAAGAAAAAAATGTATAGGTCTTCTGGACGGGTTCTTCTCTAATGAAACGTTTCGTCTCTCCTCCAAGAGACTTCTTCAGTCTGAGAGTTTCAGGCAAAATTCAGGAAAATTTCCTGAATTTTGCCTGAAACTCTCAGACTGAAAAAGTCTCTTGGAGGAGAGACGAAACGTTTCATTAGAGAAGAACCCGTCCAGTAGACCAATACATTTTTTTTCTTTTTTGATTTTTTACCTGGATTACTGAGATGCATCAGGACATTTATACTTCCTTTTTTTTTTTTACAAGAAAATGCTTAAATAAAATAACTAAAACTAAACGATAACTAAATGTTATGTTTGATTCCAACAATTTAGAGGAAATATTGTACAAAATTCACTATTTTAGCAGTTAAATACATTTTGTTGTGTACTTGGAGTCTCTAGAAGGCAGAAAAGTTCAATTTAGTTTCTCCTGGTTCTGTGTAAATATCTTTATACTCTGTTTGGGTCGTGTTTTTCAGGTCAGTTTTCTGAACTATTACATCGAATATTTTGTAACAAAGAACTTCTAAATAAGGTCTGGACTTACCAACTACAGTTTGGTGGTCTTTATTCTCCTCTGGTCCTGACTCTGGTTCCTCTGTTTTAATAGAATAGGCACTAAACAGTGACAAAGACTAGTGAACATGAACAAATGTGCTCAGTTATGAATGTGTGAGTTATAGAGACTGTTTTCAGTCAAATCAGCTCCACTGAGAGCAATGTGTATATCTGAGGTGTTGTGTGGGATATGTGCAGTCAAAGAAGGTCACTTAGAAAAATGAGTTCATCTGATYAAAAGTGAGAACATTCGAACAAAAAATTATCTATTGATATCTTTGAATTAGAAAAAAATCCAGTCTGGGTGAGAAGTTCCTTTGCTGACATCAGAGGACATGAAGTTCTGCTCTGTATCAGAGTGATTCAGATAAATAACTCAAACTGCTGCTTCAGGTGAGAGCAGACAGGTAGAAACTCGGGTTTTTTCAGTAAACCTGTTTAGTTCAGTCTGTTTCCATGGTGAATCATTCTGAGGTGTTTGTTTTTTCTAAATAGAAACTTAATTTCCAGTAGCTTTGGATTGACTAACACAGTTTTTAACTTGCCTTGTGTTCTGGACTACGCATTGATTTTCTTTGCTTAAAATAAAGACAGTTTGTATTGTTTCTTAAAAGGGATTTTCAACAACAAACATTTTTATTAACAAAAAGAAAAAAATTGTATAGGTCTTCTGGACGGGTTCTTCTCTAATGAAACGTTTCGTCTCTCCTCCAAGAGACTTCTTCAGTCTGAGAGTTTCAGGCAAAATTCAGGCTTTTAAGCACTGCCTCCATGTGACTGATACTCACATCACATGGCTATCGTTGACACCTAATTAACACCTATTGTTAACGGGGTGGAGTGATACTGGCAATAGCAGCACTGTAGGAGGGGGACAACTGAAAACGGAGGCCTCCACCTCTGTTTAATGATGGACGGTCTTTCTTRACAAAAATGGCTTCTTTTACTCCTCTCTCAAACCAACGTTCCTCCCTATCAAGAATGAGAACATCCTCATCTCTGAAAGAGTGACCGCTGGCCTGTAAATGAGTGAAAACTGCAGAGTTCTGGCCATTAGATGTAGCTCGTCTGTGTTGGGACATTCTTTTGAACAGTGGCTGCTTTGTTTCCCCGATGTATAACTGGTCGCAGTCCTCCTGGTACTTAACAGCATATACAACATTGCTCTGTTTGTGCCGGGGCACCGGATCTTTGGGGTGAACCAGCCTTTGCCGTAATGTGTTTTTGGGTTTGAAAGCTACTGGGACATCATGTTTAGAAAATAAACGTCTCAGTTTCTCCGAAACACCCGCAACATACGGAATAACCACTGGTTTGGGTCTGGGTTTCGGGTCTTCATTTTCACCTGAAGGTTGCATGGAATCCTGTCTGTGTTTCCTGTCTGATTTCAGGAAGCCATTTTTGTGAAGAAAGACTGTCCATCATTAAACACAGGTGGAGGCCTCCGCTTTCAGTTGTCCCCCTCCTACAGTGTGGCTATTGCCAGTATCACTCCACCCCTGTTAACAATAGGGGTTAATTAGGTGTCAACGATAGCCATGTGATGTGAGTATCAGCCACATGGAGGCAGMGCTTAAAAGCCTGAATTTTGCCTGAAACTCTCAGACTGAAGAAGTCTCTTGGAGGAGAGACGAAACYTTTCATTAGAGAAGAACCCGTCCAGAAGACCTARACAATTTTTTTTCTTTTTGATTTTTTACCTGGATTACTGAGATGCATCAGGACATTTTTATTAACCTCATTTTAAGTTTAGTTCTACATCCTTAATATGATTTTTACTGTTTGCAGAAAGAACCTGCTGGATTCAGCAAATGAAAAGCACCAAACATTCCTGAATTTCACTTTTTTGTCTTTGCTCAGACACAAATGCCTGACCCGAAGACCTTCAAGCAGCACTTTGAAAGCAGGCATCCAAAGTCCCCGATGCCCCCAGAGTTGGTAGATGTGGAAGCGTAAATATTCACCCCCTCTGGACGAGCATATCAGCTGATTCAGGACGCACCAGGACACTGTGGAGACAGTTTTGGATTAAATCCTCCAGCTGATCCGTGAATGAGTGTTTTCATGCAGGGATGTTTTTTTTTTTCGCTTACCTGTGGTAAAATGATCTGATTTTTAGTTGTTTCTGGCCTCAGCTTAATTCAGGTTCATTACTGAAGGACAAAGGAAACAAAGAGTTGCGTCAACGATTAATGCTACTTTCTTGATTGTTTGGGATATTTCCTGCCTCTTTTAAAACGATTAGCTCTTGTTTGTGTGCTCTGTGCCTGGCTCTCCTGCTGTTTCAGAACAAACTGAACTCACCTGCATCACATCCAGCACAGCCCGGGACGGGTTTTTGACAGATTATATTTTCACACACCAGGTTCATAATTAGGATTTATTCAGAATATTTGAATAACAAAATGTTTTTTTTAGATGTTAAAACTTTTGTCGTTTGAGTGAAATATTTTTTACTTCCTGGCTTGCACTGATTAATTTTTTTATGTAGAATATTTCAAGAACGGTTTAGTTTTGTGTTGTTGATATGAAGAATAACACTGTGCTACACGGGTACTTAAAATGTTCTTTACTTCCAGTTGTCATATTTTTTTCCAATGTTTAGTTCAAGTCCTGTGGAACTTGGAGACAAAACTGTACAGAGGGTGGTGAAAACCTTCTGTATAGACATCATGCTGTCTGTTATTGAAGCTGTGGTTTGAAGTGGGTGCAGTAAATGATACTGTTCGGTGACTCCAGTTCCCACAGTTGGTCATGGAACACACCGTGTGGCACATCTGTAGTTTGATAATGACTCCATTCATCACTTGAATTTTCTCTAAAAGTTGCACTGAAAGTCTAAACTGCACTGAGCTGTCAAGTCAGCTCTGCTCCTTATTTTTGTGTGAATTTCCTGCCACAACACGTCCACCGATTTCATTTAAAGAAAGGATCTATTTTCAGTACGTTTGAACCTCCACTGACATCTGTGCTGAAGTCTCAGACATGATTTTACTATTGTAATAATTATATCTTTTTCAGTCTAATGTGATGTATAGCCTCTTAATAAAATTTCTTTTTTTTAACAAAACCTTTTGTGGTTTTTAACTGCATTTTAAAATCTGTAAGAACTAACATGCAGTCTGAGGAGCTATCAAAGTGGGAAAGGTACATTTATGATTTACAAACGGTGAGAGAAATCAAAATAATCCCATTTTTTTGGGTTCAGTTAAAACTTTGTAGACTTTTTGAGAAACTGACCAACCTCACAGCTGGTAGTTTTATTTACAAGAAATGTAATTTTATCAGTGGTGTGAATGAAAACATTTACAACATTTTAATTTAAGATATAAAAAGTAATCATTTAAGGCCTTACATGCTGTTTCTATACAATACAGCTAACGTCCCGCTCAGGTTATGTTGCGAAATTTAGGTTAATGAGTAAAATTTCCAGAGAAATGGTCATTTTTGTGTTTTCCCAGGATAATTAACTATTGGTGAACAGCTTAAATTGGATTGACTCCAAATGTTCCAATATTTTATTAAATGTTTTTGTTAACAAATACAGCTTTTGCTCTGTCAGTACTTGGAATAAATGCTAATGACTCTCAGTGACTACACCAGGTTTTAGCTCGATATCTGTGAAACTGGTTGGGTTTTAGCCACTAATGTTGMTTATGTGCCAGTTGTTGATCTACATCCAATGATTATTTCCTGCTAACTAACAGACCTGTTTCCATTTAGGTAATTGTTATTTTTTTTATTAATGATCTTGTGCAGTCTGGTAGTGCTCAGAACGTGTTACCACACCCACTTATATGTCTTTAAAACTGTAATTGCCATGTTTGTGTTTTATAGCTCAGTTGGCAGCCATTTTGATTTGGGTTGACAGTAGGCCTTTAGGTGGCTGAAGGCTTGTGTTTCAGCTGTTTATCTTAAAATCAACGTAAAACGAAACAAAAACCTCAATGTTAATTGTATGTAATTGATGAGTTTAGGTGTGTTTTTTTAGTGTCAAAGCAGTGGAAGCAGATCTGATCTCATCAATAACCTGTCTTTAGTGGAGAAAAAGCTAGAACTCATTTGGTAACTATGTAAACAGTGAGGTCAGTACAACTGGACCAACAGGTTTTGTGAACATGCCTTTACACGGGGTTGGTTTATGCTGACTACAAATGCTACCAGGTATGCCCTCCCAAAAGGGATTCAAAGTTAGGGAAAAGCTGAAGGCTTATTGCAGATTATGCGTATATTTTTATACTTTATTTAAGGTCTGATTGATGATTTAGGCACATTTCAACATTTAATAGGTGTGGTAATAAGAGGCATGTGGGTAGTTTGTCAAAAGGTAACTGTTATGTTCTTGAGGACTCAGTAATTTAGATGACTGATAATTGGCCGCTGCAAAAGCTGAAGATAATGTTTTTACCTGTATCTGTGTTACCAAAATACTTCATGAACCACAAGACATATTTTAATGAAATTCTCAGAAAGTATTTGCGTACATCTTCTGGAGTCAATCCCATTCAACTTGGCCACCACAGCTAATCAAACAGATTTAAAAATATTTAATGAGTCATTTAAAAATGAGTCATTTTAAAGGTTCAACCAAAACGCTTTAACTCTGTCAGCAAGTGGTGTGCATTGGTCATTTTAATGTTGTGTTTGTTGTTTTGGGATTTATTTTACAGCACTTTGGTTGACTCTAGGTGTTTTAAATGTGTTTTTTTTATTAATTTGATTTGTTTTTGTGAAGTGATAGATCAAGTCCCCTTGTAAATACCTGTCTTTTTGACTGAACACTACAACAGTCAGAACCTCACTGTATAAATGTATTATTCTGACAAACAGAAGCTTGGAGGCAGTGTGTGTTTCTCAGAGCATGTGTATTCAAGTAGCTGGACTAAAGGAAAACTCGCCTAACTGGTTTTTTAGACTTCTAACCCATAATTTAACTCTTTTCTTCCCCTCTCTCCACTGCTGTTGGAACATTTCCTATTTGAAGTGTCACCTTTTTTTGACCCACAGTTTGACCGCATAAGAGAAAAATATGTTTTATTTTCTCAAATGGCTCCTTTTGCCAGCACATTAAAACRAGTGTTATCTGATCTGCCTTTAAATAGGTTACAAGCTTGAAATCTTGGCCTAAGGGAAAACCATGTGACAAGGCAAAAATAGCTTCACTCACTCCCACTGGAAACCAACCAGAATGCAGAAATAGTAGTTTCTATTAGGCCAGATAGATATAGCCTACTGTAGCTGTCTTGTGTTCTAGTTTACAGTGCCCTCTGTATCTCAGGCTAATAACATCAGTGTCAGCATACATGAGCTTGGTATGATGACATTTTAGGGTTTTTAAAAGATCTCAGCTGGTTTCTGTATTTATTTACAAAACTGTGATTTAAAATAAAACCCATATCAACAGGACCGAAATTTTATTATGAAAACACAAAGTAATTAATCTGGAGGAGTACAAAAAAACTGGTCTTCAACCATTTGTCAAAAATAAAGGCAGTGTTGCTGAAGCAAACTACACTTCCCATAGTGCCTTGCGCTCAGTTGCCGCGGTAACGTTTGACGTCAGTCTTTCTTTGCTCCGGCGCTGCTCTGGTGGAGTGTTGGACCGGTGTGATTGGGAGGAAACGCCGTTGACTGCATTCATTCGAGCGGTCTGAGAGAGAATCAGCTGTACGCCGACATCCGCCAGCACTCAGGTAGTAATTGGGTTTAAATAACTGTGCTTTGTAGTTAGCGTAGTTTATCTGGTTAACCGTATATATAAAAAATAGCTCGCGATAATAGAACCGCCCTGTAGGGTTGCGTGTAGCGGCTACGCTCACCAAACTACAGAACAATGGCCAGCTTAGCTAACGTTACGGCTCGGGATGTGTCTAATTGCTGGTTTCTAAATGGCACGCCGAACGAGGAATGGAAGGCGTGTCAGTGTGTGTGGTGTAGGCTAACACTCATATTCTACTAGTAACAAAATGTCAAGCTGTTAACTAAAGTTAAAGCCTGGTTTTGAATTGGTGTTGCTGTTAATTCGACAAGCATAAGGATGTTCTGGTGGGGAGGAAAAAACATTCAAATTTAATGTTTTTACATAATCCGTTAGCAAACACATTTTTATTATAATGCTCCACACAGGCACTATATAATTTGTGACAGTAACTAAAAAGCAAAATCACCGTCTTTTCGCTTGTAAAGTTTTCACAACTTGGAGCGCTTCTGTTTCAGGAAATAGTTGGCGCCATATTCTAGAAACTGGTCGCAAGGGGGCCATGACATAGTTGCTGTTGAATTGTAATAAGTGGACGGTGTTTTTGACTAGAAATGGTCTTTCTGGGTTCACGGTTAGGTCTCTAGCGTAAAAAAAAACGTGTTATGAAATCCATAGTGGGTGAAAGTCTGTCCAGTCCTAAGCGCTTCTGTTGAAACTTCGGTTTCCGGTTGGTAGACAGAAGCCACAGGTACGAGGCTGGGTGTGGTGAGCGTGAAAGACAAGGCGCAGAAAAAGACGTGAAGTTAGCCTGCCTTTTCGTGCCTTCCTTYAGTAAACTGTTACTTTTTATTGTTGAACCATAAAACGTAGTTTTTGTTTCATCGTCAAAGCTTCGCACTCCCCTCAGRCCTGTTCCTTGTTTGCCACAAGCATGTCTCCTCTTCGTGTTTAAACAGTTCCAGTTCTTATTCAGGTATTTAGCACCTGCCCCTCCCTATAACAGGAACATGACCGCTCAGAAACACGTTTCTGTCTGCCGTTGTGCTTCACTTGTATAAAATTAAACAAAAAAGGAAGTTGTCACTACATACAACAAAGTTTTGTTCTTTCTTTTGTTTTTGTGTGGATTTTGAGTATAAAACCTCAACCTGATATGTGTTTTTATGAGGTATTGGCCCATAAATGTGTTTTCTTCATGTGTCTGTTAGCAAAATATCTCAAACGTGTAGATTCATTTTAATAAAGCTCTCGGTAAGTAATCATTGGATAGACATCTGCACCCCAATAACATTTGTTGGAGTAAGCTCTATTCAAAATGGCCACCAGAGCTGAACAAGACAAATTTATCCAGTTCCACAGGTTCTGACCTAAAATTTAATGTGTGTGAGCCCAAGTCCTTTATCAGATCTGTTTTCAAAACGTTTACAATAACTTTTAAAATCTACTGTCAGTAAAACATCTTAAGAACTATAGGACATATTTTAACAAAATCTAAAAAGAAATGGTGCCAACCCATTTCAAGAAGGATGCCACAGCTAATCAATAATGGTAAACCAAGATGGTAAACATGTAGTCAATGTTATTGATAATGGGATAAAGTTTGGTGGACACAACACATTGAGGTGAATTTTTGCTTGAAAWTTTGTCTACCCTGTCAGCAAAATGTCTTCAACCACCTGACCGGTTTTAGGGAAACTCAATCATTGYGTAGGGTTGGGCAATATTTGCAAAAAAATTAATCACGATTAATTGTGGTATTTAGCTGATAACGATTAATTTGACGATTAATCCCCTGGAGTCCCTGGACACTCTTATGTCCTGGTCACATGACCAGTTTAGTGAGTAAGATTTGCTCTTCATAAAAATCAGTTCCAAATTGTGCCAAAATTACAGACTTCGGGCTATACGTCAAATTTAAAATTGTGTTGATAGATAAATAAATACATAACTTTATTTTTAATATTCGTCYTATTTGAAGTGGAGAGGAACATCAAGCAGACTAAACCGGAGTAATCCCCAGTCAGTCTGCCTGGTGGCATTAATCGTATTAATCGTCAGGTGGCAAAAAGTAATGGATTAATGTTTTTCTGACGATGAATTGCACACGATACGATTATGCCCAACCCTATCATTGGGTGTACCTTTACAACAACAAAAAACTAGAGGCAGCCAAATTCCAAATGGCTGCCACAACTAATCTATGTTAGCAAACCTAAAATGCCAGTAAGTTTTGCAAAAAAATAAAGTAAAATAGAAAATAAARGAGCTAATTTGGGTGTGGTTATTGGATGAGTGTGATCTTCAAAACATCCTAAGTACTAACATGTCAAATGACATTGCACAAAACGTCATTTGCTACGTTGGACCAAAACGACTATAACTTTTCAGCACAATTTATTTATATTTTTAAAATTTATCTTGGAATTCTGGCCTGCAAGTTGGCAGGTGATATGCATTACATTAATGAATGCTCTGCCATTAATTCTTTTTCTTATGTGTGTTTTTTATTTATTTATTTTTCCATCTCTCAGTGAGCAGTCATGTGCGAGCCATCTCAAAAGGAAAATGTCCAAAAGGCCAAGCTGGCCGAGCAGGCTGAGCGTTACGACGACATGGCCGCCGCAATGAAGAAAGTGACAGAGGAGGGTGAGACGTTGTCGAATGAAGAGCGCAACCTGCTGTCTGTGGCGTACAAGAACGTGGTGGGTGCTCGTCGCTCCTCCTGGCGCGTCATCTCCAGCATCGAGCAGAAGACTGAGAGCAACGAGGGCAAGCAGCAGAAGGCCAAAGAGTACCGGCAAAAAATCGAGAAGGAGTTGAAAGAGATCTGCGGTGATGTTCTGGTGAGATTTATGTTGCTGACTAGGGATGCACCGATATGAAAATTTCAGCCGATATCGATATCTGATATAATTATTGGTGTTATGGCCGATAACCGATATTTACCGATATTACACAAACACACAAAATATATTATACAAATACGCACAAACACACTTGGGTCTTTTTTTGATACCATAAATAACCAGACCTCTGACATGGCTCAGCTTCATTTATTCCTGGCTACGCCGCATCAATATCACTATCATGATCAAACAGATGCCACTCAACCAATCATCTCCCCTCCCAAAACAGAAACACAAAGATAAAAAGTGGGAAATCAATATTGGACGTTAATATCGGCCCAGTTTTACATATCYGACCGATACGATATTCTAAAAAATGACCAATATCGGCCGATACCGATATCAATACCGATATATCGTGCATCCCTATTGCTGACTTTCAGTTTCTAACAGCATTTTTTTTTTCTTTTACGTTTAGTGTATCGCATATTGGATGAACTGTTTTTTGTTCAGCGTATTCAGTTTTACTGCTGTAGTCTAACCTTGTGCTGGAAAAGACTCCAAATTATTTGGGTTGAACTGAGTTAGATTTGAAGCATTGACAGGATTGGAAAACTCAGTGAACGGCTGAATAAGTTGGAAACTTATTTGCACTTGAAAAGATCATTACAGGCATTGTAGCCTACATGATGTTTTTTATAAAGAAACAACCTGACTGCAACAGTCTGAGTTCATTTCAGCAAGAACGGGATCAAACATTTCAAAAGACTTACTGTACATTTAATTTATGTTCGCGAAGGTCATAAACTTAACCATGATGTTTAAGACTAAGTGATCTGGCAAACCTGTCAATTTGGCTTTACAATATTTGTCATATATATATTTAATTAAATGTGATCTCATTAATTTCTGTCAAATGTTAGAAAATTCTCTTATTTTATTTTGCGTATAAAGTATTAAATATAAATTAGGGTTGCACAATATCTGGAAAACCTGCGATGTGCGATAACAGTGCTTAAAATTGAAATGACAGTATGACTTGGGATAAATGAACAAATGCTCAAGTATGCAGTGTTCACTTCCTTCTGTCCCATAAAACTTTGTCTGGTGCTCTAAATCAGGGGTGTCAAATTCATTTTCACTGAGGATTACATGAGCGTTATGGTATTAACGTTTTTAGCTTGTTGAACTTTGACTAAACAGAAATCGTTCCATTCCTCGTCTCGTTGTTACAGCTGAGCACAGCTAATAAACTGAGCTCTACATAGTATTTCCTGCATAGAAACAGCGTTTCAACACATCTTTTTTATAAACACTGACAAGTGGGGGGTTTTGGTGGGTCATGCAGCCTGTGAGCCTTAAATTTAACATGTGCTATGTAAATAAGTAAAGGAATAGTAACCTAATATAAAAAATGGTATGATGCTAGCAAAGCCAAATTCATGCATCTCGAATGATGCTAAACTCAAAGTTTAATCAACCATATAGGAAATATATTTTCTTTTAGATCATACATTAGGTAACGTCTTGTCAAAACCACTAAATGTTTTTTCATTATACCATTCCTGTTGATTAAACACCTTTTTAAATAAAGTACCAGAGAAAAATGTCCACCTGTTGCTCTAACAAGCCATCATTTGGTTGTGTTCAGTACCTGAGGAGGGGTGGAAGGGTTCCACCAAACCTTTATGATCGTTAAGAAAAGATGTTGGTTGGTTGTAAATTTCAGCTTGTTGGTGGAGCAACAACCACCTCTCTTTTGAGGTAAAAAACTTGTAAAAACATGTTTGCCAAAAAATGAGCATGTTAGAGAAAAAATGTAACTGCCTCAGGCTCACCAATGCTGCGGTCACACCGAACACATTACGAGCGTCATGTTTACATGCAAAGTCTTTGGTGGACGTGCGTCAAGGAGCGTCGGGAAGTGCTGCTGTGCGTTTCGAGTGTGCATCGAACGCTGGAGTTGGAAAATCTGAACTTTTGCAGCTTGGCGTGGTGTGTCAATCAGAGAGACTCCACTGAGTGACGTAGTGATGTCCACTAACCTGAAATCGAGTGCCTGCAGTCTGTCCTGGCAGGAGGTATCTGCATCAATGTGGGTCAGCAGCTCGTCAAACTGAACTCGGGACAAAAATAAAGCTGAAAGCGAGCCTCGTCAGCTCGCAGCTCCTGGAGTGGTGAAACTCACCAAAACATAAGAAGATAATAGCATGCTAATTAATTTTCTACCATCAGCTTGTCAGGCTGTGTGTTACTATACAAAGAGCAGAGCAGTAATATTTGGAATTTAAATTTATTCTTAATACTTGTTTGAATTAGAATATCAGCTTTGATGGCAAATATTGTGAACAAAAAGCTGATCACAAATTTGTTTATTTTGCCCTAAGTTCAGGAAATGCCTGACCCTACTGATATAGATAGATGAAATACATAATACTGTGCCTCCATGATATTTTTGCTCAAGCCTATCTGTACTGACACATACCTAATTTACATCACCATTATTATTTATTCTAGTGTCCTCATTGTACGGGTGCATCAATGACACATATAGTTTTAACTGAGTACAATGTGGGGTCACCTAGGGGTGGAATAAACGTTCCACTTGTCTTTGAAATAAAACGTATCTTTACTATTTAAGAAAACATGTTATGACTTTAACTCGAACAGAGTTCTGTTCTTTAAAGGAGGCCTTCGGAGATCAGGGTCAAAGACAGGTGGAACGTTTATTCCACCCCTAGGTGACCCCTACAACAATACTTCAATTTGAATACTTATTACAAGTCCTGTTACAGGGTAGACGGAAGGAAATGACAAAATCTGGTTGAGCAACCTTTCAATTGAAATAGCCAAAAAATCTCAAGAAAAATGTGATTTAATCAGTATGTTGCACTCTATACAAATGTACTCAGTCATCTTCCAGTCTGCTTAAACTTTTCAAGCTTCTGAGTGTCAGACTGTTTCAGGATGTGCGAGTGGAACTTCCTCGTTCTCCTCATCCTCTTCCTTGTCATCAGACTTTATTTGCAAAAAAYGGCACTCYCATGCTGTCTCAGTTCAGYGGTTGCAGCCAACATAGTGTACGTTTGTGTGCCACTAACGTCATTGTCCCGCACCATAGGCTGTCCCAATTTTATATCCACTCATGCAACCGACAGAACCCCAAAAACYTTGGCTGCATCAAAATATCCTACGTGGCTGACAATATCCCAGGATGTAGGGTGTGGCCAGTGTGGGCCACTGACTTGGGACACAGCAACAGTGTGTTTAAGGRTCAGTGATTAAAGCAGAAAAAAATAATACTTGGGACATTTTTTTCTACAACTGCAGGTTACCCAAAAATTGCCACCCCCCACCCCAGTACCACACACTCAAGCTTTTTCCTGCATGTCAAAAGGTTTACATATAAAGAGGAGTATAATATGTATATGACGGTCAAGAAAACTTGAACCTGCACCATTTAGATTTTCAAGATTGATGACGTTCTGAATGAAGAGAGGTTTAAACAACTTTTCTATTTGTTTGTCATTTCMGTGTTTTCACCTGAGATGTTGTCTGATATAGAAGTACAGCACAGGAAGTTCTTTGCACAGAATAAATTAATAATTTTTACCAGATAGACATATTTCTCACTTATGATGGATATTTTACTGGATTTCATCTCATGTAGTCATTTAATACTATTTATTTTTTGTACTTATTGAATTACATTTATCACAGTACAGTTACCTCAGTATGGTTCTAAATATAATCAAGTNATCACAGTACAGTTACCGACAGCAAGTTTATCCATCCGTCCGTTTTCTTCCACTTATCTGGGGTCGGGTAATACAACAGTTCACAATGACTGGAATTACATTTATCACAGTACAGTTACCTCAGTATGGTTCTAAATATAATCAAGTTTAGCACATGATTTAAACAACCACAACGSCTTGTTGTTTCTGGTGGAATTAATTTTTGCAGATATTTAGTATAAACCTCAACCACCTGAAGCTGACTTTCACAGAAAGAACTTTGTGATTCTGGGGGAGGGGGAATTAAATTCAAACAGAGACGCATCTATATTACAATCTGAGGCAAATAAATATTTGTCTTTAATATTATTAGTGTTAATGTTGTTTAATTATTAGAATTAATGCATGCTGCTGCACTGCCTCCTCCTTTGAAGATCAGGAGTTTGGTCACATCAGCAAGCTGCACGTCTGTAAGCTAAAGAAGATGCTGCAAACACGTTAACGTTTAATAGATTTAGATTGTCACAGGCAGTTTGTGATGAAAATGCAGTCAAAAAGCCTCTGAGCCTCTGCTTCAAAAATGACTCACTAAGAGCTCACAAGTTTGACTTACACAAACACGGAATGTTTGGCATGTGCTTCCAATATATAATAAATATAAAAGATGTTGTCCTCCTTGGTAAAATAGTCTGGGAAACCCTGAAAGCTTTCGCTTTTGGTCTGGATCGAAGTTGGGAAGATTGCTGCGCACACCTGCTGTCTATCAGACAGCACGACCCGTCCTTCTCTGATTGAATAAAACATTCACTGTGGTTCTCTTTATTGGTTGAAAGACCCATCAGCTTAAACCCAGTATCATAACTGATTAAACAACTCTAACAACAAAACACAAGTTTTTTTCCTCTTTACATTTCCACAGATGACAGAAATCTGATGCTGCGGTGGCAAACTTAACTTAAATTTGCATGATTTCACTTGGTTTTCCACCAGACAATCAGGAGGCAGGATCTGGCTGCTCAAAACAAAAACAGGTTGTGTCGGACAACCTAAAAACCCCTGTGATTATGTTTACTCTCTTGCAATGACTTGAAAATACGTTTTGAAATCATCTGTACCTTTTTAACAAACATCACAACGCAAAGTTCAGTTTGATTGTGTTGAAAAAGCTGGATTTTGTCTGAACAGTTTTGTTTAGTATAATTTGCAGTCTGCTTTATTTTTGTCACAATCATTCACTTTGATGTACCTCCACACGTCTTCTGCTTCTTTTTGGGGGTAGCAGTTACCAAACAACATTATGCTGCATTACACTGGCAGGTTTTAGATGGTTAAACTTATATCTACTGGTTTTATTCTGGACAGCTGTTAATAATAGTTTATTTCTACTGCTGTCTACCACAGGTAAGACACGGACTACCAAGTTCCTAAAGTGATCCCTGTATTTAAAAATAAATATTTGTTTAAAGTTCATCCTTAGAAAGAAAAGACTCAAATATGTATTTTATGAACATGCTTGTATTGTTGAACCAGATTATTATATTAAATTTACAGTTCAAGCTTGCCTTATAATAATCAGTTTTTCCATTAATGTCAACTGATTTTGCTATTTAAAAACTTATTATTTTACAATATTTTGCTCCTTTCTGCATATGAAATACATTGCTCGTGTGCAAGTCCTATGCCGTTCTTCTTCACTTGGATATTCTCTGCCCAATGATGACTCAGGGTCTTAATCCTAGAATTACAGAAGCTGACCCACCAGTGTTCTTCATCCCTGACCTGTACTTCAGCTTACAGCTTTATGGAGAAGGAAGGAGGGAGGGTGATAGCATGGGCAGAGGAGGAAAGTAGGTTCAACATATGGCTAATGTAAGATAGCTGGTTTTATTTAGTGAAAGCTGGTTGTTTAAAGACTTGGTTACATGCACAAGGTAGCCAAAGCAGTGGAGTTTAAAAAAATAAATACATTTTTGCTTTCATTCTCTAAGTTCTTGTCTAAAGCAGACATGTTTTTTGAAGTAAAAGGGAGGAGTTTTATGTTGTTTTGATGCAAGGCTGATATTTTAACCTGTTCAGGCCTACAGCAGTGGCTTTATATACATTCACATGAGGAGGAGGGGGCTATATATAACCTTTTTTAATATGAGGATTGAAGTCCTTCCTGCTCTGATTGACTTTGGGGCCCTACTGTGGAGTCAGACCTAGGAAAGGGACTCATTGTTGAGTGCCTAGTGACTAGGGTTAAAAAATTAATCACGATTAATTGTGGTATTTAGCCGATAACGATTAATTTTATGATTAATCCCCTGGAGTCCCTGGACACCCTTATGTCCAAGTCACACGGCCAATTTAGTGGGAAAGATTTGCTCTTCGTAAAAATCTTTTTCAAACTGTGTCAAAACCACAGACTTCAGGCTATACTTCAAATTTTAAATTGTGTTGATAAATAAATTACAGAACTTTTGTTTAAATGTTCGTCATATTTGAAGCGGAGAGGAGCACCGAGCGGACTGACCGGGGAAATATCCAGTCAGTCTGCCTGGTGGCATTAATCGTATTAATCGTCAAGTGCTAAAAACTAACCGATTAATGTTTTTCTGACGATTAATTGCAGACGATATGATTGTGCCCAACCCTACTAGTGACCAGGCCCTCAACTCATGGGGCTCAGCCTGAATGAGCTACATGGGTTTGCCATTCTGTGGGCCCACCACCTGCAGGGGGTACCATATGAGTGGGTGCAAATTTCTGTGAAAGGCAGCTGTAGTACTTGGCCATAGTAAAGTGAGGCCTTGCACCTCTGACTAGCTTATCAACACTGGCTCTTGGAACATGGAGGAATGTCACCTCTCTGCTGGGGAAGAAGTCTGAGCTTGTGTGTGAGGTTGGGAGTTACTCAGAGCTCACCTCAATGCACAGCCTGGGTTCTAACCTTTGTGTCTGTGCAATGAACAGCTGTTCAAAGTACTCAACCTTCTTGGAGTTCTTAGCAGGGGTGCTGGAAGGTGCTCCAGCCTAGAACTCATTCACTTTGAGGGATTTCAATGCCCACATGGGAAGCAACAGTGTAACCTGGAAAAGTGTGATCGGAGAGAGAGAACAGTCTCTGATCTGAACCCAAGCAATGTTCTGTTGTTGGATTATATGCTTGTCACAGTTTTTGTTCCAAGCCTCCATTGTCAAGACAGCTGCCATAAACTGTGTTTGCATAATCTTTGGTGCCTCTTGTGGCAACCATCCTCGAACACTGTGGTGGACACCCCAGGTCGAGGAGGCTGTCAAGCTACAGAAGTCTCATCAAGGCTTGTTAGCTGGTAGGACTCAAAGGAGAGCTGAGGCGTATCAATGGGCCAAGCAATCTGCAGCCCTGGCTGTTGTTGAGGCAAAGGCTCAGATGTGGGAGGAGTTCAGTGAAGCCTTGGATAGACTCTTGATCATCTCCAAGAAGATTCTGGCAAACCATAACTGTTGAGGCAGACAAAGCAACACTTTACCAACAGACCTCGACACATGAATCTGTGCAGCTTTTGCCGTATTGCAGATTATGTGCTGGTTTGTTGTGATGAAACTCTTCATCAGTTTTTTGTACTTATACTACCTTCACCTATGGTCACAAACTCAGGCCAGTGATTGAAAGAAGTGAATTGTTAAAAACACATTAGGTAAGAACCACAGAAATTTGTTTAAGTCAGCTCAAGCCATGCAAACAGGCATTATGAATATGTGTGTCATTTGAACAAGTCAGAAGTTTGAGTTTTAATTTAATTTTTCTCAGAAGTAAGTTGCAATCTAACACTCAGAGTTTCATACTGTTTGTGCAGATCAATAAACAAACTACAGACTCATGCTAACTCACGAGTTGTTTTTACTGTTCCACAGACACAGTGAGATCTTTTAGAAAACGCTTCTGTATCTTTAAAAGATCAATAGTTTTAAAAATCTGATTCTTTCAGATACCATGCACAGTTTTAGAGTGCAGCTTGGATCTGGTCTGTATATTGCCACAGCCATATTCTGATTTTAGCTCTGCCCTCACTTGTGTCCCAGTTTTACATTCAGATCCCAGGGGGCTTCTCTGATCTCTTACACCGGTTTAAGATCATTTAAGATCATTCAGCAAAACCAGACACTTATTGYCTTTATTTATCTTGTAATAATTTTTTCACTGTTGTGGAAATATTATCTGTGCTTCCTATATTGTGACCTTTGCTTTCATGGACTCAGACTTATCCTATTTTTGATAAAAGCATTAATCATGCTTAGATTATTTTTTCATTGTGATTTTACACATCATGAAAGGGTTTATGCCTGCTTGATTTTTAAAAAGTTTGCCTAATACAGTCAAATACAATCAAATCATTTTTGTTTGGATTAGATCATTCTAATATAAATGCCCCACCCCATTTTTACACTTTTTTCATGTAGCATCTTCTTCCAGCTTGTATTCAGGTTAGGAACATGAACAGATTATCAAGTGGTGCATGTTTGTGTTGTAGTGTGCCAAGCTGGGTTGCGTGAATGACCCACTTCTCATCAGGAGTTCAGCAGCCTGGTTTCTCTTTCTCCAACCCCCACCAGCTTTCATCCATACTCCAGTCCTCCTCGATTCCCATCACACCACCATTTCTTCCTCTCTTGGCCATCTTCAGTCCCTTGTCTCCTTGGTTTCTCCTCTCTCATCTCCTGAGCTCTCATGTTATCTACATATACATCGATCCTTTCTGTGAAGCATCTGTCACATAGCTCATCCAAAGTCTCAGGCTCCAGCCCAGTGGGCTTGTTTCTGATCATAATTAGGTTTGATTAGATATTGTCCAAAAAAAGATCTGCGATGTTTCTTTGGACATTGTTAAACAGGCTGTTGTTGGGACAGTGAATGTGATTTCAAATAACTGATTTTAGAAAATCTGTTGAGCTTTTGTAATAGTGTAAACTCTTCTTTTTCTGTCATAGACTCTCTTGGACAAGTATCTGATTCCCAAAGCAGACACGGCAGAGAGCAAAGTATTTTATTTGAAGATGAAAGGAGATTACTTTCGCTACTTGGCTGAGGTGGCTACAGCAGAGGAGAAGGATGGTAAGCTTTAAATACAAATTTGTTTTTCCAAATGTGGAATATATAACACTTGAGTCATTTGAGGACCTACAGCACAGTCATTATAGACTTTGAAAATTGACTTGATCTTGACAACTTACTTACCTTCACTGATTGCGGTTGAAAAGTCAGTTTGTGTGCAATAAGTTCTTGTAATTACATAACGAGTAAATATTGGGTAAAGCCTGTTGACTGCAACACAACTAATTGAAACTTTAATCTGTGTTTTTGGTTGCTTTTCTTCTAGGAATTATAACAGATTCACGGGGCGCATACAACGAGGCCTTTGAGATCAGCAAAAAAGAAATGCAGCCTACACACCCGATCCGCCTCGGTCTGGCCCTCAATTTCTCAGTGTTCTACTACGAGATCCTCAATGCTCCTGATGAGGCCTGCAAACTGGCCAAACAAGTAATTTTATAACACGTTATATTGACACACTGCCTTTAAACCTAAAAGTATTTAAACTTGTTTTAACAAAGTTTTCTAGGTTCTAAGAAGTTTTGACTCTCCTTTTTATTTATGTTTTTTAGGCTTTTGATGATGCCATTGCAGAACTCGACACCCTGAGCGAAGAATCGTACAAAGACAGTACACTAATTATGCAGCTATTAAGAGACAACCTGACAGTAAGTTTCCTTTTGACTCTGTATGTTTGTAGCAGCATGATCAAGTTGAACTATGCTGGTACAAAGAATGAAGGGGGCTGTGCTGGCTACAGACCTTTGTAACATTAGACAGATTGAACCATGAACCATTGGACAGATTTTAATGAAACTCAGATTCATCCACAATGATACATTTTTTAAAGTTAATCTCTTTCAACATGGTTTCCACAGACAAGAGACCTTAGTAAACACAAAAATGGATATAACTTAACCAGTCTGACAAATATTAACATACTTGGTGTGGTAGTAGTTAAGTCATTCACAATCCATCATCTGATTGCTAACACACCTCATGAGATCACACATAATTTCAAGATTTGACCAAATAAACAATAAGTCTGCTCTACTCAACACAAGGTGATCTTAGAGAGAATTCTTAAATAAAAGAATTAGGTTGATATGGGTTCCTCCAACAAGGGCTTGGTCTTTAATTTTGAATGTGTAATTTACTGATTTGAAAACAAACATGTTCAGAAAATATCAAAACAATTTGCTTTTTGCAATTGAAACAATTACCGTATTTTTTAAGAAGAAAGGCTGTCGTGATTTTAGTTACAGATATTCGAATGAATTTGATTTAGGGCTGACAGCATCCTTGCAACCAAATCTAAAACGTGATGCACATACATTTTCTTATGATGTTGTTTTGTGCACTGTTGCTGACTACGAAAATGTATTCTTAAGACACTCTGCACATAATACATCATTGTAACTTGTATGCAGAAGCTAAATGGCCTCCTTTAAGCGTACGGAGAAGCAATCACTTGATGATCCTGATCTATAAATCTTTACTCGGTTTGGCACCAGCATATTTAAACTCTCTTTTACACAGATCTGTTAATTCCCATTTTTTACGTTCCAACAACATTTTTCTTTTGCATGTTCCTCACTGCCGAACTGAAAAAGGAAAGCAAGCTTTCAGTGTGATGGCTCCTTCAGCCTGGAATCAGCTTCAGTCTGAAATCAAAATGTCAGAACTGATTTCTCTGGATTCATTTCGAGCGATTCTTAAAAAAAGGCAACAAGAGTCTTTTAAACAGTGTCACTGTTTTTAAATTGTTTTATTCTGTTTTATAATTGTGTATATGTATTAATCAATTTTGTTTGTAACCAGGTTGCTGTGTATTGCAGACTTCTGCCCAGGTGCCCCTTGAAAATGAGATCTGGATCTCAATGGGGTTTACCTGGTTAAATAAAGTAATAAAAAATAATAAAAAATAATGACTAGGGGTGTAAGAAAATATCGATACACTGAAATATCCCGATAATTCATTTCCCAATACTGTATCGATTCTCTAAAGCCCTGTATCGATATTTAATTAAGTTTTAAAATGTCAACTTTCCTGCCAAAGGTTCCTTTTTATGTTCTAGTTCTTCCTCTGACAGCTAGTCGGCAGCAGTGAGCCAGCCATTTGGCTCCTCTACTCCTAAGGAGTCAGAGAGCAGTAGCATTAGCATTGTGAGTAAACATTAGCATCATGCACCAATAGCTGAATATGAGCAGAAAAGACTGACACCTGCTGCCTTCTAAGCTGAGGTAAGGTTACCAACAGTCCCTTATTAATCAGAATGTCTGTATTTTAAGTCAAATTTAAGTGTCTCGTGCACTCTTTTTCCAGCTGTAGCTGTCACGTTAGGCAGGCAGGCATGCGTCTAGCTCCTCGAGCTTGGCGCTCCCCCTTAAGATGCCCCGTGACACAAAACTCTGTCTGCTGCTCTCAGTGTCCATCTGATCGCGTCCAAGTCCTTARACTTTAAGTTAATCCTGCTGTGTTCGCTTCAAAAATGGTTTCATTTTAAGAGATTTAGCTGTGTTGTTTAGCTTCTCCATTTCTTTACTGGTTTTCGGGACCTCCCCTGCTGTAGTGTATATAGCCCACCGGTATGCAAAAAACGTTCTAGATGCAAGTCAGCTGATCCCAGAAACTGTGTTCAGCAGCTTCATATCATCCATTTACTGAACTTTATCATATAGGCTGTTGCTAAGTGTGTTGGGCGACCATATTGTTTTAGTAAATTAATATTAAAGTCTAAAAGCTGCCACAAAAATATTTTCAAACTATGTATTGGCAAATTTGGTCTAATAATTGAAAACATGGGTAAAATAAGAAATATGAAACAATAAAATACATACAAAATGTACTGAGTTTTTAATCTAATAGACGTTTTGGACAGAAAAATTGCAACTTGCTTACAGTATCGCAATATATCGTGATATATCGTATCGTGACCCCTCTGTCATGAAATGTATCGTATTGCCAAACTGTTGCAAATACACAGCCCTAATAATGACCTGAGATATTTGGACTTTGTCTCACTTGTAGGTGGTCAAACGGTTGGTTTTAATAGAAATGTATTACTCTGCTCTCTGAAAAACTAGACTTTGTTCCCATCAGCACAGCAGAAGAAATATAAATTTGATATGTTTGTTGAGATTGGACTTTGAGGGGAATGAGGAGGCTTTAGTGATTACCTGTAAATTATGCAGCACCAGATGTCTTTTAAGGTTGAATATTAATGCTCCTCTGCTCTTTGTCCTGTCTGTCCTCAGCTGTGGACTTCTGATACCCAGAATGATGGAGATGAACCAGAGGAGCCCAAAGAATGAGCTGCCTTCTAACAGTCATCCCTGTCTGCCTGCCATCATCCAGGACCACCTTCATCATGATCTTCATCCACCTCATTGTCAACATCAAACTGTAGCCATTGTTCTTCTGTTTAGGTCTCAACTCATCTCACTACTTTTGGTTTACCATTTGTTCTGTAGTACCTGTGGGGGGAAATGGGGTGGGAGAGAGGAAGTTTTTAATAGTGTGATGGGGAGGTTAGTGTACTTTGAGGCATGATGCTGTAGCTGCTAACCTGAGGTGAAGAAATCCAAAAGGTGCAAGCACAAGTTTTATTCTCATGACTTGCAAGTTTTAAAAAACAACATATTTGCTTTAGTGAATAATGTTTTGAGTAACCTAATCTTTAGATGGCCCATCCATGGTTGCTCAACGGTAGCTGGCTCCTCACACCTGACTGGGCAGCACCTATCGCCCCATAGAATTGCAACAGAAAAATACAATGATGATGTAACGGGGACTGCTGGAGATAAAAGGCAAGGTTTATACAGGTTACATTCCATTTACTGTCAAATGTTTAACTTTCCGTGTTTGTGTTCTTTTTTTTTTTTTTAAATCATTTTGCTGGGGGGCTGCTTTTTTACATCAACGTATCTATTAGTAGGTATAGAAAAATTGAAGAACAAGAGCATACAAGCTTGTATTGTTGCTGTTTTGTATGAGCACCGCAGTAAGAAAAAAAAAACACCTTTTCTATAACTACTGCTTTTCAAATTAGGTTTTGTCTTTACTCGTCTTTCAGTACTTGTCTAAACTGTTGGTAAGGGGTAGTTTGTGGAGAAGAAAGGAAGGTTTTTTTGGGTTTGTTAGCTTTGCCTTTGGAGTTTTCATACTGAACACTTGAGCATAACTGTTATCTGGGGGAAATGTGTAATGCCATGTTAGTGGAATTAAAAACAAACAAAAAAACATTCACCTTGTCCTTTTTTTATTTAAGTGATACAGTGGTCAGCCTATGAGTCTTGACAAAAGCCCAGTTAGGATATCCACAGGTTTGTATATTTGTGACCCATCACATTGAAACGAGGATTAAGTCCAAAAGTGGTATTTGGAGAAATAGGCAAATATAGTGTTTTGACTAAAATGTTAACAAAAATTGCATTTTGTCAAAAATAAAATGAATAAATGCCTTATCAATGTATCATTTGAATGAACTGCCTGAAATATAATCATAAAACAAAATTTTGAAGCACTTTTTTGAGCAGTGGCAACAAAAAACCTGATTTTGAGGAAAAACGCCTTAAAATTTTGAGATTTTCCCTGTGAGCTAGCAAAGTTTTGTTTCTTTTTAGCTGGGAAATCTCAATATTCAAATATAATTTGAGGTTTTGTCTTTATAAGGACATCAAATATTCCTCATTAAAATGACATAAAATTAGGATTCAGGCCAAATATTTATAATTGTAACCAACAAGACAAATGAAGTCATACATATGGATTTAATTACAATATCAGAATGATCCAGGTATCAAAATGTAGCTTTTAAAGCCAAGAATCTGAAAATGTAATCAGGCCATTTTGACCAAATTTGACTTAATCCTCATTTCAATATGATGGGTCACATTTGTGTTTCTGTTCCTTTTCCTCCTGTCTTTGTGGGGACATCATGATGTAGAGTTCAGATGACAAAGTTTGCATTGGCCAAGTCAATCACCTGATCTCCACAGAGCTGCGTTTTACATGAAGACAAAACTGGAGGTAAATATCTKAATAACAAGCAGGAAGTCAAGACAGGTGCAGTAGAGGCCTGCCCAGGGATGAAATCCAGCATCTGGTGTCAGTGTTCCAGACTTCAGGCCAGAGGCAAAAGATTTGCATCCAAATATTAAAAAGTAATTCTGATTTATGATTGTGAATTTGTCTCATTACTGTTGGTCTCTTAAAAAGTCTAAGGGAGGCACATCTACAAATTGTTACAAATCATACACCATTTGCCTGATTTAGATGTAATAGAAATGTAAGGTCTTCCCCCTTTTGTGCATTTGCAGACTGTAATTTGGCTTTTTATGTTGTTTTAGGAGTAAATTACAGATCCCATCTATTTCACAATGTGTTTATACAATAAAATAGAACTGATGATCTGGACATTAAACCCAAGAATGAACCAGAGTTGTGAAGAATAACTCTTCCTACAAATCAGCCACAAAATCTGAGGTTTTTGATGCATTTAGTAATAATTTTGAATGTGTATATACACATTGTACATCCATTATTAATAACTGGGCAATAAGAAAGTAAGAATACTTGTTTCCATATGCCCTCAATAGGTGCTYGAGACAGTATTTCACAGCATCACAGAGGATTTTAAAAGTAGAATTTTCTTGTTGATATTTCAGAAACCTATTTGTTACTAAACTATGAAAAATGATTTAGTCAAAAGTAGAGCGATTAATCAAGCCATCTGAGGTACACTTCGAGCCATCTTGCATAGTGTTACTGAAATGAAATCTCGCGAGATGAAACACGTAAACCACGGTTTTAAAAACAAAGTATCGCGAGTATATGAACTGAGAAGTTTCGCGAGACTTTGGTTCGCACGTGAAGCACGGCTGGTGAACGCGCCGCAGTTCCGTCGTCCTTCCTTTCTGTAATCTGTCTGCGTAGGGTGTGCTCCGGAGCTAGCCTCGGCACACTTTTTATTATTATGAAACAAACCAAAAACTAGAGAGCACACGCAGACATATTTTTATAAGAAAAAAAAATAAATCGGTGAAGCAGGATTTAATTTGCCTACCCAAGCAAACGCGAAAAAAAAATAAAATAAAACAAACAAACCGCTGCCCTGAAACGGAACGAGCAGAACGTCGTTAGCAAGCTACCTGTACTAGCGTCATTGTTGAGAGCGTGGGTAAATATCGTTTGCCTGTGGAATTTTTATTTCTTCATTTAACGGATTTGTTCGTCCTGATTATTACGTAACACTATTTGTTTCTTACTCTGTGAGAAATTGAGCTTTCTCAGTAACCGTGAAGAAGCTGAAGTTTAAAAATTGTATTTTTTTTCCGAGCCGTACTGGGTACTAGGCCACGCTCCGACATTTTGCCCATCACGCTACGTAGCACACGTTGTTAGTGTTTTTCCCACGCTCGTTTTTTAAGGCCAAAAAGAAGACTTGGACTCCCATTTTTTCTTCCCCCGCGTCGACTGACGGTCACGATTAAAACGAATTTACACATTTCTGAAAACGTACGCAGCCGAAGATGAATCCCAGCGCGCCCAGCTACCCAATGGCCTCTCTCTACGTAGGAGACCTGCACCCGGACGTTACTGAGGCCATGCTGTACGAGAAGTTCAGCCCGGCCGGACCCATCCTCTCCATCAGGGTGTGCAGAGACATGATCACCCGCCGGTCGCTTGGCTATGCCTATGTTAACTTCCAGCAACCAGCGGATGGTAAGTCTGAGTAACACATGACTCAAAGCAGTGTTTCCCAAAGTTGGGGGTCGGGACCCAAAGTGGGGTCCTGAAACATCAAGGTGGGGTCCTGAAAATTTTTTCTAAATTAATTACATTTTTGCCTTAGTTGCTTAAAATGTATACATGTAGAATAATATTGTTACTATGCCCATGATACAAATGTTTATCATCCAAAAATAGTTGTGGGCACAGGTCTACTGTTATTTTGTGGGTCAAAAGCTGAAAAATTTGGGAAACACTGCACTTCGTGTATCAATTTAAAGGGTAATAAAATAATTGGGGATGTAATATTTTCCCTATTATTATAACAAAAGCACAAAATAAGTATAAATAAGTTTTTATATTTGTGTAGCCTTTGTTTTAGGGTTATTAACAAAGTTTGTGTACTCAGACCAGTAATATTTGGGGTCACAAGTTTTTGCCATGAATATTTTGTGGGTCAGAAGATCAAAAGTTTGGGAACCACTGACTTAAAGCACCGTCAGCGTTTCACATAGTGCACTGTAGTGCTCAAGATGTAATAAAATACACTAAACTGTGCTGCTGTTTTTAGCTGAACGAGCCTTGGACACAATGAACTTTGACGTGATCAAGGGTAGGCCTCTTCGCATCATGTGGTCTCAGCGTGACCCCTCATTGAGGAAGAGTGGAGTGGGCAACATCTTCATCAAGAACCTGGACAAGTCCATTGACAACAAGGCCCTGTACGACACATTCTCTGCGTTCGGAAACATCCTCTCCTGCAAGGTAGATGTCGAAGTGGTCTTTGTGTTCAGCTTGTGTTTTYTGTTTTATAGATCTAATTGGCACGAGTAAAGCCTCTACCAGGATAAAGCTGGTTTATAATGCATGGTGTTTGTGAATGGTTTTAACACGATGACGTCTGCCTCATTCCAAGGTGGTTTGTGATGAGAATGGCTCAAAGGGTTACGGCTTTGTGCACTTTGAGACCCACGAAGCAGCTGAGCGTGCCATTGAGAAAATGAACGGCATGTTGCTCAATGACCGAAAAGTGTAAGTGGCGTTGCTGACTATATGCTTGGAAAGTCCTGTTTTTTTTTATTAATCTTACACCTAATCTCAGTTTCATGTTTGTGTTGAAATGCATCTTGCTGTCAAATGTGTTGACCAATCAGTGCCAGAGTCCTTGGTTTTGTTTTAAAACTCTTGCAGTGGAGAAAGGTTCATGGTTTTAACACAACGTACTGTTCTCATATGGAATGTGAAAGTTAAAAGTACAGACAGTTCAGTCTATGCACTGTGAACCTTGTTACCTTTTAAGATTTCATCTAAAGTTTCTGGTAACTCGCTACGTTTGAAAGAAAACGAAGCCTATATAAATTGTTAGTAAAATTGTTGATAATTTCATTACAGGTTTGTCGGACGTTTCAAATCCCGCAAAGAGAGGGAGGCTGAGCTCGGTGCACGTGCCAGAGAGTTTACCAACGTTTACATCAAGAACTTTGGCGAGGACATGGATGACGAGAAGCTGAAAGAGTTGTTTGGCAAATATGGTAAGGTGTCAAGAGGTTTAACATTTAACTAGTTGGTAGGTAAGACTTACTCCGTGTTGATTAACGTGTCATTTTTTTTATAGGGCCTGCACTCAGTGTCCGAGTTATGACTGATGAAAGTGGCAAATCCAAGGGATTTGGTTTTGTGAGCTTCGAGAGACATGAAGACGCACAGAAGGTCTGCATGAGTTTCATGTAATACTTCAGAGGACGTCTGCCACGGCCTCTCGCTTAAATGATGCTTTTGTGCCTGTTTTTAGGCTGTTGACGACATGAACGGCAAAGAACTGAATGGCAGGCAGGTGTACGTGGGTCGTGCACAGAAGAAAGGAGAGCGTCAGAACGAACTCAAACGCAAATTTGAGCAGATGAAACAGGATCGCATGACCAGATACCAGGTTTGTTGCTGCTTTCACTGTCTTCTCGTTGTTTTGTGTGTCGGTAAGACACGGCTCTCTTTATTTCATGTTTGAATTAGCAGTAACGTGAGATCTGAGTAGTTTTGAGTGMTTTTAGTATGATGACCTTTTATGTCTCAAGTCAGGACTGTTTTGTTTCTGAATTGCTGTGGTAGTTCTTCATTTTCCAGCWCACTCAACATTTTTATTCTTTCTGTTCCGGATAAGGATGACTTCAGTGATTTTAGTTTCACTTTTTTATCTCTTGGTCCTCTGACCCTCTCTAAATGAAGCTGACAGGAATAAAGTTTATTTTTTYAAGCAGAAGATGATGATTTGTTCAAGCTTTTGTTCCGGGGCAGTGCTAAAAAAACAAAACTTAATTTTCAAACTAACATAGCTTCCTGTTCTGAAACTTCCTGATTTTAAATGCTACATTTTTTTTTCAAAGCAGGAAAACCTGAATTACCTTTTTATTACCGGTTGAACTGCATTACTTCAGTTTTAAGACTCTGCTTATGTTGCTTTATAGAACAGGCCAAAGTGTACATTATTTAGCTTTCTCAGGTGTGCTTTACATTCAAAACCTCTCAATATTTAGGCAACGCAGAACTGATCGTTAATGTTTGTTCAAATGTGTAATTGCTGCAATCACCAGGGTGTTAATCTATACGTGAAGAATTTGGACGATGGCCTGGATGATGAGCGTCTGCGCAAAGAATTCTCTCCATTTGGTACAATAACAAGTGCAAAGGTACAAGGATTTTAAGCCCTTTTAACATTAAAGTGACTCATTTTATAAGAAATGTGTAATCGTGTGATGCAGCTTGTAGCTATGAAAATAATTTGTTATTTTTAACTCTTTCACAGGTAATGATGGAGGGTGGTCGCAGTAAAGGGTTTGGCTTCGTGTGTTTCTCCTCCCCAGAGGAGGCCACCAAAGCTGTGACAGAAATGAACGGCCGTATTGTGGCTACAAAGCCTCTGTATGTGGCTCTGGCTCAGAGGAAGGAGGAGCGTCAGGCCCATCTAACCAACCAGTACATGCAGAGGATGGCCACCGTGCGTGCCGTACCCAACCCTGTTCTCAACCCGTATCAGCCCGCCCCAACTCCAGGCTACTTCATGGCTGCTATACCACAGGTGAGCCTCCTCTGCAGCCAGCGGCTCCTTCTGCGTCGAATCAACTCATTTCACTGGTTTGGTGTTTAAAACTCTCCCTGTCCTCAGGCTCAGAATCGTGCTGCATATTACTCTGCCAACCAGTTGGCCCAGCTCCGCCCCAGCCCCCGCTGGGCAACTCAAGGAGTACGTCCTCAACGTAAGTGACCTTACATTGCCTTAAAGTTCAATTCAGTTTTTATTTGTTTTTTTCCAATTCAAAAAATTCATTCATTTCATTAAAAAAACAAAGAAAATACAGAAATCAAAATAAAATGAAAGGTAGCAGAAGAAGAATAAATCTTATAATGTCTGCTCCTTTTATCCCCAGAATATATTCAAACAAAACATAATTTACAAAACAATATTAAATAAAAAGAAAAACATCAACTCAAACAACAATTCATATAGCTTCACATTTTACTTTCCCCTATACCTTCAGAACACTAGCTTTTATCTGTCTCTTAAATAGATCTGCCATTTTTAAGATCATCCTCCAGACCGTTGCACAATCCTATACCCTTGATTAAAGTACATCTTTCTCTCAAATAAGTACGAAAATATGGCTTCACAAACGTTTCCATCCCCTTAAGATAATAACAACTGTCTCTGTTAACAAAGTTTACCTGAATGTTGGAAGGTAATAAGTTTCTGTGAGCCTTGTACATAAACAGTAAAATATTATAGTCAACCAAATCATAGAATTTCAAAATTTTCAGTTTGCAAAATAATGTATTTGATGGATGGTTGTAATCTTTTCTCACGATAATTCTTACGGCTCTTTTCTGTAAAACAAAAATCTGATCTGTAATTGCTTTGCTAGCTTTACCCCAGACTTCAATACAGTAAATTAAATGTGGAACAATTATTGAATTGTACAACACAAGCAGAGCCTTGTCATTAAATAACTCCCTGACTTTATACAGTACTCCAATAGATTTGAGGTCTCCATGTCAGCTTGCCGTCAATGATGACACCCAGGAATTTCACCTCACTCAGTTTGCTGTAGAACGAGTGAATGTTCTGTAACATTTCTGCTTTTCTCCTTGTCCAGACTTCCAGAACATGCCAAACGCCATGCGCCCATCAGCACCCAGGCCTCAGGCCTTCAACACCATCCGCGCTGCCACCACCGCCAACACCCAGGTCCCTCGCATGATGGCTTCACAACGCATGCGTGAGTATCCAAACACTGCAGTTTGCTCTGGTTCCACTGTTTTGTCGACGCAGGTGTGTTTAAACATGTCTACCCGCTGTTCTGTCCTCAGCGACTCAGGCGCTCAGCCAGCGCCCTGCCGGCGCGTCGGCCACTGCCGCCCCGGTACGAGCCATGCCTCAGTACAAATACGCTGCCGGTGTGCGCAACCCTCAGCAGCACATGGCCTCCCAGCCACAGGTCCCCATGCAGCAAGTAAGAATTACTGGTGTTTTTCAACATCCACATCTTCTTTTCTTCTCCATCGATGTGTGTGCTGTACTGCGAGAGGGAGGAAGAAATTATGAGGATTTATCCTTTTGACACAATATTTCAGTTAAATACAAGAAAATACTGAATCAACTGCTGCTGATGAATAAATGCTGAGTTCTGTGTGACATATTCTACAGTGGGAGAATGTGGAATTACGATGATTATATCCCCCTTCTACGTGTTTGAAATGCTACATTTCTTTTTTTATTTTCATTTATATATGTTTTTTAATTAAATGACCGTGTATTATAAAACATTAGTTTACATCCCTGTTTGGGTAAGGATTAGGACACTCTGTCCCGGGCAGGCCAGCAGTAGTTTCTGTTGAATTCTCAGTGTTATAGAGTGACCTTTTCAGTGTTTTTTCTACCTTGAGGACTACAAGCATGACAGTGTTTTAATAATGATCTTTAGTCACTTCCAGGACTGACTAATCAATCTGACGTCTTCACCTCCTTCAGCCCGCGGTCCATGTCCAAGGTCAGGAGCCCCTGACGGCCTCCATGCTGGCTGCTGCACCTCCTCAGGAACAGAAGCAGATGCTGGGTTAGTAGATCAGAAGTCCTCATGGCCCATTCTTAGGTTACTCCACACATTCTGTTGTTTTGTCCTGAACTCTTGGACGTGTCCTTTCAGGTGAGCGTCTGTTCCCTCTGATCCAGAACATGCATCCCAGTCTGGCGGGTAAGATCACCGGGATGCTTCTGGAGATCGACAACTCTGAGCTGCTTCACATGCTGGAGTCACCTGAGTCACTGCGCTCCAAGGTCAGTCCATGTGGCCGTATTTAACGTGCGTTTGGTTCTGTAGACTCAGTTTCAATGTTTCATTTGCTGTGGTTCATTAAATGTTTTAGGTTGATGAGGCTGTCGCCGTGCTTCAGGCTCACCAGGCTAAAGAGGCCGCCCAGAAGTCAACCACCCCTGCTGGTGTCCCCAGCGTCTAAGGTTTGTGTCCCAGAAAGTTATTTATTCAGAACATGTTCACAATGTAAGGCAGTATTAACAGATATTTTAATTACTGCAGTGTTAACGATGACAATCCTTTTTTGTGTGTGTCTTTCAGATTGAGCATTTTGAAATCTGCTTCACCGATGGAAAAAGAAAAAAAACTTAAACATCGAAAAACTTAAAACTCTGAAAACATTGCAAAATGATAAATTATTTCTTAAAAAAAAGGATTGACTTTGCCAGGTCTAGGAAAGATTTGACTAGACCTTGATCATAAATTTAAAAAACTTTGTTTAAAAAAAATAGCAAAATACATAAAATTGAAATCATAAAATTGAACACATTCCTGTTTTATGTCATTTTACTGTCAGTGCTCAGAATATCAGCCAAATTCAGGGAGATGGTTGCTGAGTATTTTGAACAGATTTGTATGGTGAACTACTGGATGAATAAATTGACATTCAAAAATATGTTTGTGTGTCGTGACTAAATTATTAAGTATGTGAATCATTTGGTTTTACCCTAAAATTCACTGAAATAACTAGCATTTGGCAAAAGTAATATAAACACTGAAAATCAGTTGCTGCTTCTGAAGTTTGGTTGAATGTTAAAGAAAAGCGAATGAAACTGGTCGTTACAAACAAGATGGTACCTTCAGAAAAGTCATCAGCGTTACGTGTCTTCAGTTGAAAACAGTTGTGTTGGACTTCTTGTCATTCTAGACGTGTTTAATTGGACTGTTCTGAAGTGACCTGGGCCCTGATCTAAATACTGTTAAACATCTGGAGAAGGAAGCCTTCAAACCTGAAAGCTGGAGTGGTTTGCTCAAAATGCCTGTGGACAGGTGCAGAAGTTTGAAATTACAAATCAATTGCCTCAATGTACAACAAAATACTAGGTTAAGGACATCCTTTTCTTCATGGTTTCATTAATTTTTTTCATATATTCTGTTAAACCAAACTACAAAAGCAATTTTTATTAGCTGATACATTATTTTGTAGTAAATTTTCACTTTATGGGAGTTTCTTTAAGGAAAAACAAAAATTATCTCATGTCAGATTGCAGATCTCTGTTGCAGTACTGCTCTCCTCCACCAGGTGTCACTGTAAACCCCTGTCATAACTTACATTTCACCACCTGTTAAAGGAAGGTGGGTGATGATGTTTTTGTGCATATCTCTGTCATTAACCACTGGGCAAATTCCATATGAAAGTTACAGAAAGTAATTATCAAATTACCTCTATAACCAGTTACTTACCATTCAAGAAGGTGACAGCTACATTGACAAGCAGACTTAAAAATTACAAAATTTTACTTAAAACATGGGAGCKACATGGCTTTACATCTACACTTCATAAGCAGTGTATCATTAAATACTAGAGCTTTTATTAAGTATCTGTATTTTTTGCCCCATGATAAAAGTGGAAACTACCCTTGTTGAATTATTCACTTAATTCCACAATTTTCATCAACATATAAACTTATATTCTTGTAACACTTATACATGAGTGAAAAGGGTATAAACCTGCTCCGTTTTCAATAATTACAATTAATTTTTCATGGCCGCATACATTAAATTAAGAATATAAATTGCAAACATATTCTCCACATTAACTCAAAAGTGTATGAGACCTAATCATTTTTTCCTTATACAGTATTTTTAAATCGGTTTAAAGTAGAGCATTTTTTCAAATCATCCCCACTTCCATAATTTTACTCCGTACACCGAACTGTACATTTGCTTTAAAGTAGTACGCACAGTATTACTTTTGAAATTGTATTTACTTTCTGTCACTTGAGCTTAAGACAAAAAACGTTTGTCACTTAATTGGCAATAATGTCTTTCTTGCTTTAAACATAACTAAAAAAATGTTAAAATTAACCAAATCCTGTAGTTTAAAGATATTTGATTGAATAAACAATAATTGTATGTTCTCTAACATTCACTTCTCATAGCTTTCTTTTGAAACACAAACAAAGGTTTGGTGTTGGTTTTGTATGTGTTGCCTCATACATCATTCCACTAGATTATCTACGGACATTGAAATAGAGACATTTATTTTATAGTTACAAAAAATAAATTTAATTTTATACCAATTTATTGATAATGTATTGGTTTTTTTTATCCACTCATTAAGTTTCAACAGCTCACTAACCATTGTTCAGTTTTTTTAAATGATTCCCAGAACAAAAGTAATTTGTATCATCTGTGAACAGGATGAACTGRAGCAACTTCACATATGTCATTAATATACAAAATAAAAAATTTTGGTCCTCCACGTTTTATACTTTGAAGATCTGATGTTACATTTCCTAGCTATAAAAATAGTTTCCGGTTAGTCAAATAACTATTCAACCTATGAACTATCCCTCTTATCCCATGATTCTGTAATTTAGAAAGAAATAAAGTGTGGTCGATGGGATCAAAAGCTTTTCTTAAATCAACAAACATCCTCACTGTGTAATTTGCTTCCTTTCAATTGCTTCTATAATTTATTCATTCAGTTCTAATAGTGCATGGGATGTTGATTTATTTGATCTAAATCCATGTCGACTCTCACTCAGTGAGTTATTCTTTTCAATAGAACAAATTTCTGAACAAACTATTTTTCAAGCACTGGAAAACCATCATGTCAATCCCATCACTATGTTTTAGTTTTACTTTTCCTCACTATTGATGGATTTCCATTTTCACTACCTCCAAGAAACACTGACTGGAGGGCTCTACTCCCACCACTCACATTTCCACCTATTTTATCATTTGTCTTGCAGTTTTTCTCAGTTACTAACACACATTTCTTGAAACCATCCATCCATTTCTCTAAACTGTAAACACAAAACCCAATTTTCAAACTACTTTCACAGAACCTCTGACTCTTCCTACAAAACCAAACTCTAGCCTCAAAATAGTTTAGACTTTGCTCAAAACTGAACAATATTATCAGATCAGACCTCGAGTCCATCAAATAGAAAACAGTACAGAGCAGTCAGTACACTCAGCAAGGAAAAAAGAAAACACAATAAGATCATGAAGCTTTTGAAATAATCTTTATTGTCCACAAAAGAAAAGGTATTTCCTAAACAAAAAAACCTGTTTAGCAGTTGTAGTAAAAATACTAAAACATTTGATCTCTAATTTATAGAAAACTAGTATCTCGTCCTATTCTTCCACTTCATTTCAAACTCAGGTCCTCCACCAGAGCTCTGGAGTTTCAGGGTTCTGTTCAGGATCTCTTCTAGACTGAGATCTCTGAGGTTGTTCCTGGGATCTGTTGAAGTCACTCCTCTAGTTTGGGGGTCACAGCACCAAGTGTTCCATTGACCACAGGGACTATTGATGCTTTGACTCTCCATAACTTCTTTGTTTCCTCTTGGTAGTCCTCCAGCTTCTCGTTCTTTTTCTTCCCGGTGTTTCAGTCACGTTTGATCTCTTCATCTATCACCACTGTTTTCTTCTCTTGCTTGTTCCACACCACATTGTCCAGTTGGTTAGCCATCACCTGTTTGTCAGTCTGGATCAGGAAGTCCCACAACTCCCACTTTCACTGTGGGACCTCCAGTCTAAATGTTGCGTGAGTTTATAGCCTATAAATAAATTACATATATTTACTATTTGTTTTTTATGTGTAAAAATCCATTACACCAATGAAAGTGCATCCAGTTCTTTACAGTATTTAGAGTGTTTGCCAATGTGGTTTCATGTTTTTAAGTTCGGTAACACCACATCTTTTCAAAAATGCTTTGCTTGTTGATTTTCCATAAACTATTTGCCAGGACAGAATGAGTGATTAGAATTGGAGAAAATGAAAAGAAAAGGATAAAAAACAAAATAAAAATACATGTGGAATCTCCTCCATCTCTCTCTCTCTCTCTCTCTCTCTCTCTGTCTCAGTCTCTCTCTCTCTCTCTCTCTCTCTCTCTCTCTCTCTCTCTCTCTCTCTCTCTCTCTCTCTCTCNTCTCTCTCTCTCTCTCTCTCTCTCTCTCTCTCTCTCTCTCTCTCTCTCTCTCTCTCTCTTTTTTCATATTTTCTAAGAAGGGCCTTAACTCCCTCCATGACCACATGACCTGCAGCTCTCCTCCTCTGGGTACAGGCCGACTCCCATCCTGCAGTCTGCAGTGTTGACTCCAGATGGAACATCCATGTTGACTCCGAGCTCARGTGATCCGATTGCAGCAGCTTGGGTCATAATACACCTTCACTTTCTCATCCTCACAAAAAACTTTCAGTCTTGCTGAAAATAAAACCTGTGACGTTATTTTTCTTTCATTAAGTACTTTGTGCACATCTTTGTATTTTGGTCGTTCGTTAAACACTGAGTTTGTCAAGTCATCATCATGATTTACTTGCACAGTCTTTCATGCCTCCATTTGTTTGGAAAATTGCTTTTATTTTTGCTTGGACATTTCTCACTGTCCTTCTTCTCCACTCTATTTCCATTAATTTGAAGTCTTTGAAGCTGTTTACTCCAAAGTTTTGTCCACTTTTTCACTTAGTTGTCTGCAGAGACACTCACAAACATGTTTGCCCAGTGGCCATCTTGGAATTRCAGTCCACTAAAAGTAACATATTTCTGCTTGCTTTAGTTCTCTGTCTAAATCCGATCATTAAACTAATAGAATGACATTTTATTTTATCTCTCAGTGTATCAAAATGTGTGTGTTTTTCTGTGATTATTTAAACAGCACCGCACCCCTGATGGTTTTAATCATTCTCCTTCAAAAGTTTATCTTCTGTTTGGTGTCTATGCAGGATCTACAGGGAGGATGAAGCAGTGAACTTTAAATGAGTGACTCCTGGTCTTGTTTATAAGAGAATCAATAAAGCTACTGGTCCAAATCAAATCAAATCTCAGTTCACACATTGGTCCCAACCCCCACACCCAAAATCAGCCTCCGAAGTTGTTAAAATAGTTGTTAATATGTTTTACTGCACAGAATTACTTTTCTCTACTTTAACTTAATCACAAGTTGAATAAAGATTTTTCTTATTTAATGTGAGTAAATTTTAAGATTGATGTTCACTGATGTCATTTAGTTTATTTCAATCATTTAAATAGTGTTTGGTTGTATGGAGGCAGGAATTATGTAGACTACATTAGTTAAAAAAAGACATGATAGTTCAGAATGTACCTTCAATGTCATTTGATACTCACATTAGTAGCATTATTTAACTGATGTAAAGATATAATATTTAAGAAATCATGCACTGTTTTAACACAGAAGATTTTAAATGAAAAACACAACATAGCTGTTATATTTCTCTTAACATCTGTAAAATCAGCAGAGTTTCTGACAGATGTCATTCAGAAAAGACAAASTGTTCCACTGCCTGCACTACAATTATTATCCACTAGAGTGCAGAATACACATTTCACATCAAATACAACAGGTTCATAAAGAAAGTATTCAGACACTGATGAAACAGAGGTCGCAAAAATGTTTGATCTAACCCTATTTTTCCTGAAATCC